TCTTCATCCAAGTGTGTTTCAGAACTATGTGTGATAAACCTCATTTGTTAAATACGGGAGATTGATCTACTCTATAACATAACAGTTGTGTTTCACATAATTAACCCAAATAATGTAACAGTAGCAGGTTTCCTGTCTCTTAGTTGACTTGCTCCATTTTTCTCCTAAAGTGTGATGTTAATGAGAAATTCTGTTATCAGGACCCTTTTACTGAAATATTTCTAAAACACTGTAATTGCTTTTCCTTTAAAATCCTCTATATAATCCGCATTGCCGTTCAGTTTACTATGGGACACTAGTGAGAGCACACAGAAATAAAATCCAAGGTTAGGCCTTTCTTGCCCAGATTTGACAATGTTCTTGTTCAGATATCTTGAATGGGGAACATGATCAAGAAGCACAGAGCTCAACTGCCAGAGTCTAGAGCAAGCTAATCTGGCACTGCTGTTTGGGGCAGTGGATCCTTTGTGGTGTTAGGCATAGCACATGATCTCAGTCTCCCTTTCTGTTACATAGGGAGATGAGAATAATTTCATTCCTATTTGACACAATATGTGTATTTTCTACAGGCAGATGAAATGTTATGGAAATAGCCTTACTAAGGACTGTTCAAAATCAGAACGTATCCATCATTCATTATTTACTTATTTATTAACTTATTTATTAATTTTTGTTTTTATCTTTATTTTTACTTTTACTGTTACTCTTTTATTTTATTTTATTTTATTTTTATTTTTATTTATTTTAGTGAAGGAACTCAGTTCATAATTGAAGACACCAAAACATTTAAAGGTTGGATTTGTCTTCTGGAGAGTATTCTGAATTTCAAGAAAACTGCCCCCCCACTGTTTCATTATGAGAAATATTCTAAAGGCTTTCCAAAAGTTTTGTCTTTATGCAGAACCACAGTCTGTTTATTTCTTCATGCCAAAGATGAGGTTTGGCAGAGGATTGTCCTATACCCTTGCCAAAAGCTCTCCTAAGAGCATACTCAGTTAGTTTATATTACTACTTTTGAAAAAGGAAACATTAAAGAAACCATATTTTTAATAAAGTATAAAGGTCTTCTGAAGGCTGAAAATGCCTCCCTCTTGCCCCACCTCACTGCAAAGGGCTAGGGGAAGTGAAAGGAAAAAGGAGTCCTACAGTCAGAAGAGCTGCCTCTGTGTGAGGCCTGAGAGCTAGGACAGCTTCACTCTAACCCTCGTTTCCCTGCAAGCTCTTGTTTTCAAAAATTGTTTCTAAGTCTGGTTGTCTAAGTCAAGACAACCATGGCTTCATTTTCAGCAAGTCTGGGCACTCTCAACACCTGTTTTTGCTGTGACTGTTCAAGGGAAGAAGGACTTAGGATACCTCCTGCCAGCTTCCCATCCTACTGCAAGTGCACTTGGAGGGCAGGGAGGGGAGCACCCAGTGCCTTGGCCTTTCCCTCTGTCAACTTTGTGACCATATAAACACAACTGCATCTGCTCTGCAGCCTCACAGAAAGGTCACAAAGCCAGAGGAAAGCCATGGCTGTTGTATGACTAACTTGCATTTTCTTGCTCTTAAAGTAGTATAACCTCTAGCTGGTGTCTAGGACCTTTCTCCATTACCTAATGTGTCACGTCAGTCATATTCTTTAACTCTTGACTTAATAATGGACATTATCCTACATATTGGGGAAAGAGAGACTTCAGATGTCTTTCTAACCATGCAGTAGAAAGAACTGCCGCTTACCAAAGTGTTTAATTTTAGTGCATGGTTTTATTTTTTTTTATTTTTACTTCTAAATGTTCAAGTCTGAGATAATATGCAGTTAAAATATGGAAGACTATTGTCATGGAAATGCCTGATTCTGTAGCTATATTATGTGCAGTGAGAGAGCATTTCAGGTGATTGTAAAACACTTGTGTATTGTAAATTGAGAAAAAAGTGGATGTGTTTATCTATCCATCCATCTCTCTGAACTCAGACCGTATTTTTAGAAACAGATGTTATAGCCTTCATCCAGCTCAACATCTCTCTGCTCCAGCAGTTGTCCTTTCAGTCCATTCATTGTCCATGGTCATGGGTCATTATGCATGTGCCTGTGCTGGTCAGCTATCAAAAAGAACTCAGCTAAAATATGGAAGACACTATTTTCCATTTGAATTCCCAACACTAAAATGGTATCATTTACTTTTGAAAGATTTCTTTTTAAAAAAAACATTAAACTACCACATCCAGAATTTCTTGTTCAACCACAAAGCCTTTTCCTCCTAGAGATCAGTATAGTTCAGCAGCTGAATACCTCAATGTCAGGGATGCATATGCAAAATCGCCAGAATCTGGAACATACCGATATGTTGGAATAAAATTTCAGTCCCCAGTCTTGAATGGATGGGATCCTTTTTTCTGTAAGCATTATGTGGCTTGGAGATTTGTCAGAGTTGCACCAATGTGGGTCAAACTGCATGGTCAGGGCCTTTAAGGCTTCGTCAGGAAAGTTACAATCTGAGGTTCAAAGCATTTCTACTATAATATGAAAATTAAACCATGCTGCACATTCTTAAAGTATTCAAAAAGGGGGTTAGTTTATTATCTGCAATTATCTTCTATACTGGTGTTTCTGGAGAGAATAAACATGGAAAGCTCCGTGTGTAGATCCTCCTGTCACAACTTTGCACTGATAACTCAGATGGCAATTTCAACTGTATGAAGTTCAACAACGCCAAGTGCCAGGTCCTGCACCTGGGGCGCAATAACCCCAATCAGAGCTACAGACTAGGAGAGGAATGGTTGGAAAGCTGCCTGGTGGAGAAGGACCTGGGAGTATTGGTTGATCGTTGGCTGAATATGAGCCAGCAGTGTGCTCAGGTGGCCAAGAAAGCCAACGGCATCCTGGCTTGTATCAGAAGCAGTGTGGCCAGCAGGGCTAGGGAAGTGATTGTCCCCCTGTACTCGGCTCTGGTGAGGCCGCACCTCGAGTACTGTGTTCAGTTTTGGGCCCCTCGCTACAAGAAGGACATTGAGGTGCTTGAGCGAGTCCAGAGAAGGGCGACGAAGTTGGTGAGGGGTCTGGAGAACAAGTCCTACGAGGAGCAGCTGAGGGAGCTGGGCTTGTTCAGCCTGGAGAAGAGGAGGTTCAGGGGCGACCTTATCGCTCTCTACAGATACCTCAAAGGAGGCTGTAGTGAGGTGGGGGTTGGTCTATTCTCCCACGTGCCTGGTGACAGGACGAGGGGGAATGGGCTAAAGTTGCGCCAGGGGAGTTTTAGGTTGGATGTTAGGAAGAACTTCTTTACTGAAAGGGTTGTTAGACATTGGAATGGGCTGCCCAGGGAAGTGGTGGAATCACCGTCCCTGGAGGTCTTTAAAAGATGTTTAGATGTAGAGCTTAGTGATATGGTTTAGTGGAGGACTTGTTAGTGTTAGGTCAGAGGTTGGACTTGATGATCGTGAGGTCTCTTCCAACCTAGAAATTCTGTGATTCTGTGATTCTGTAATCTTTTAAGATCTTCATCCTTTTTTATGCCGCAAATGGATATTTTGTTTTGTTAACCTGATGAAGGATTCAATGCAATCTGCTGAGGGAATCAATGTATTCTGTAGACTCAAAGAGAAGGGACTGTTTATTTGTGCATTCTGACCTCCTGAATATTACAGCCAAAAATACTGCTCTTTCACATTTGCATTGAGCCCAATTCCTTGTATGTTTGATTAAAGTGTTACCTGCAAATGCAAACTTGTGAGCACAATTTATTCTCCAGCCTTCATTTTGAAAAACTCTGATTCCCTGAGCCCAGAATGACTAAAGTCTTGTTTGCTATGGCTTTGGATTGTCTGGTTTTCTAACAAGGCACAAGCTCCAACTGGAGCTTTTCCAGTAGCTGGGAAATTCATAACTGCTCACTATTAGTGGATTCTCTGAAGGCCTAGTAGGGTATGTTCATGCTGAAGCCTTTCATTTATTGGAAACAGTATTAAGGTCAGCCTATTTACCCATCCAACTATTTTCCTACATCTTGGTAGGAATGCAATTATGTTTGAGGGGTCTGCTTTTATCAGATATGGTGGGAATTGGTGATTGTGTCCAAAAATTATTTAAGAGGTAATATGCATGTGATCAGTCATGTAAGCAACACTTGACTATGTAAGTGTTGTTTCCCTAGGAAATCTGGCACCTGTACTGCCAGAGATATCTGAACCCCTGTGGATTTTTATTGTTCTATTCCTACTGTTCAGTAGAGAAGGAGAGATAGGAGAGGTTCATCTGATGTAAAACAGCATTCCTAGAGGATATTAGCAATTACCAATGGGCTAATTTCCTTCTGACATTCTGCCAGTTCCTGGGATTGCTTTTCATCATGGTGGTCTTTAAAAAAAAAAAAAGTGCATACATACAACTGCCCTGCCAGATGAGAAATGAGAGTCAGTAAATTGTTTCATTTTTGTCATTTTTTCAAAGTCCTTTGTCATGTCATCAGCCAATAGGCAGGATGCAAGTGAGATATTGAGGCTCTATTTATCTTCACTTCTGTTTCCATTTGCTATATATGAAAATGATCCTAGATTTTGTTACAATAATACTTTTCATTCAGAAATTTGGACCTCCTCTGATGTAAGCCCCAAACATTTCCATTTCTATGTGCAATAAGTTAATGCCTATGTAATTATGAAGTGGTGCCAGCTTCTAACCACACTGTCTTACCTAGCCTAGTCCTTTGGAAATGTTTTGCTTGCAACAACTTCATATACTAAACATGTTTGTTTAATAAAAATGTTGTTATGATAACTATAAACAACATATTTGTGACATGACTAATGTTTTCATGAAGTTGCTTTCATTTTCACAGGTCACTGCTTCCTTTTCCAGCTTCACAAACAGTTTCCTCAATCATCTGGGCACCAAGTTGGTGCCTCAGCACTTGGATCTGTGTCCTATGATTTTGATCTTCTTTTCAGAGTGTTCTCTCATTTGTCCCTGTCCATGTGCTGTTTTTCTGACACTTCTTTCTTCTTGTGCCACTTTATGACAGCTTTTCCCCATGATGTGCTGTTAAAAGAGGTGAGATATCCAGAAAAAAATGGAAAAAAGAAGTAGCTGACCAATAAGCTACCTAGAAAGTAAGTAATTTTTTTTCTTATTTAGTACGGGTGTATGTTTAGCTATGTTACAATCTACATTCATGGCTTTCTGTACAACACAGGGCGCATTTTGTAAATGAGCTTAAACACTATAAAATTGTAATTATTCATGAATTGTCTTTTATTGCTAATGACATACTAGCAGAGTTTGATATACCAATTATAAGAATAAAGTTCATCTGAGGTAACAGAGTTTTTTCCTTTCTCAGGCATCCAGCCTGGATCTCAGCTATGAAGTAAGTACCTCTACCACATCTCATTACCAAAATAGCAACCTTCTTAATCCTTTGCTGTGAAGAACAAAGGTTTGATTCAGTCTCTGGAGCAGAAATAGGATCTTATTAATGCACTGGCAACTAAAGTGTTGTTATTTTTGTTAGAAAAGAGAGAAACAGGAATTTGCTGATATATGTTAGATTAAGGGCTTTTATTATTTTGAGATTAATCGGATTGTTAGTTAGGCCTTTTGAACAGCAGTTGAAAATCTACAAAATATCTTTTAATTTAGCATTCTGGATGAGTTCAGGAGCTGCTTCTTCAGCTTCTATTCTTTGCATCTGTTCTGAAAGAGTCACTTAGGATGCCAATTAAATGCTGTATTGCTTACTCTGCAAGTGGTGGAACTAGGAGGAAAGTTCTGCCACTCTTGACAAGAGTACTGGTCTTGCTGGGCTCCATTCACTTGCCATCCATTGGATCAGAGCTTAGACCCAAGGCACCAGGTGAGATACCTGGTGCTTGGCTTTTGAGGATCAGAAGAGAACTGTGCATCAGCTGAGTGTCCATGCATGAAATCTTGTTTGAAATGTTAGACCTCTGATGGTGTTTATGGAGTCTCTTTCTTTTGAAAGATTTGCTGCCATGTAGTGTTGAGCTGCACTGGACTGTGGAATTTGGGATCCCTGTGGAGTAGGCTCTCTATGCCTCTGGCAGCTCTTCAGGATAAAGTTGAAATCAGGATTGCAGAGGAGCCAGAGGAATTCCACTTGGTGAATTAAATGTTCTTGAATTTGAGGACCTGGAAAAGGGTGAAGAAAGGATCTGGGTGAGCTCCCAAATTGGTATGAATGACTGGCATAGAAGGTATTGCTTAGAGCAAAAATAAATGCAGTGTAACTGATCCGCTGAGACCAGCAAACCATTTCTGGAAATGACTGGTGCTTGATAATTCTTAGTGATAGGCAAATGCCACACTCCAAAATACGTGTGGTCCATTGTGCAATTCTGTGTGGGTGTGGATCTTTGCAGGTTATTGGCCTATGCCCTTTGGCATAAAATGTGTTTGTCTAAGTCTTAGTATGTAGAACTTTGGGTGTTTATCTTCATGTGTATGAGAAAGGTTCAGGGTTAAGCGAGGAACTATCGCAGAAGCTGAGGTCAGCAGAAGTGTTCTGGCTAACTATTCCCAGGGCTGAGTAGTAGACCAGTAAGATGGCATTTTCAGTGAACCTCAGTTTGCTGCTTCTGTTCCTTATGGTTAGGATAAATCTCATGTTTGGTCTCCAGGAGATATGACAAAGATATATGGTGGAATCTGTAGGCTGAGACTTGTGGCTGGACTGTGTGCACTTTTATTTGTGTGCTGGATGAGATTTCTAGGCAATTGTGTGTTGTATTAATTGATATTTTATCCTGATTATTTATATCCCCAGAATGTTTTAAGTATCAAATTTTGATAAAACAGGAATGCTTCAAGTGCCAGTAGGATACAGGCCAAGCCTCTTCTCTGTTATACCACTGTAAAGCTGGAATAATTCTATTGACTTCTGAGTGGCAGTGGTAATACAGAAAGCAGAACTGGACCTGAGAGATGAAGCAGAGAGTGTGCGTGTGTGTGCGCCTTGGGCAGTGAAACAGCTGACTGAAAAAAACAGCTCATACACTGCTCCCATTTTCCCTTGATGGTTTCCAGCTGTCCTCTTATCCCTGGCATACGAAATGACACTAATTAAGTACAGCTTATAAAAATAAGTGGGAAGCAGTGTGCTTTACCCACCTTATAGTGCTGTACATAAACAATGTGCTACGTACAATAAACTGCAATTGCAGATGCTGAGCAACACTGCGGTTATTAAGCCGGGAGATGAGTAAAGAGAAAGTTCCTTTGGCAAAGCAGTCATAGGCAGGATGGCTTCTCAGACTGTACAATGGAAGAAGGTATGATCGCATGAAGGAAATCAATGTGTATTGCACCTGAAACACAACTGAGAGTATTACAGACGTCATTTTTTGTTCATGTTGGGTCTTTTAGTATTAAATGAAGCAGAAGAAAGGAAGGAGCTAAAGAAGAGAGTAAAAGAAGAAGGGAGCATTCTTATTTTGCCCAACCAGTAAGCATGTATTTGTAGGATAATAACATCTTGTTTGTTGTTGCTGTTTTGCATTTTTGCACACTTTTTCATTAGGGATTGTAGATGACTACCTCAGAGAATTTGGAAAATAAGTAAAATGTATTTGAAGAGTATGTAAACCTAGATTTTCCTCTGAGTGTGCTGTCACAATGTGAAATTGAATGAGTTATATTCTATGCTGCTGCAGCAAGACATGGACAGGTTGCTAGGAAAGTATTATCAGGAACTAGTTGAAATCAAGAGATGCAGAAGGAAACACATTATTCAAGGCATGAAAATCACTGTCTTAACTCCATTGCCAGTCCCAAAGGTTAGTAAGAGTTTGCTGAATTGGATGAATTGCTGCAGGCTCTGTCTAAAGTAAAGTGGAAACTGAAAATTCAAATTTAAGTGACTATTAGAGACTTAGTGGAAAAAGTTATGCAAAAGTTGGCTGCAGTTATGATGGAAGGTGCAAAGGAGAGGATGTTGCAAGGTTGGTGTTGCCTGACTAGAAGTGTTGTATAAACCTAGAGAAATTATCCATATGACTTTTAGAAAAAGTATTAACAGCAGTTACAAATAAGGACTCTTACAAATATGGACAACTATAATACTGGAAAACCAATGTTTGCTTACTAAGACATGATATTATTTGGTAAATGAATGGCCTTTTTGGGTCCAAGTTAGGTGAATTACAACAACAATAAAGTTACATTATGACTGGAAACTCTTTTTTCCTGGATGTGTGTAGACAGTGGAGGAGAAAACAGAAAAAAGTAAAAAACTTCTTTGGAAAGGGGAGTAGGGGTGGGAACTCTTGTGTTGTACGAATGTACTGTTTTACCATTAAGTTTGGGTGCAAACAGATCAGAAGTGCTGCAGTTTTTCAAGTGGGTAGTTTCCACTTAATCTAGTGCATTAACGTCACTAGCCACTGGGTGGAGGTGGCAGACAAACTTCCTATTAGGTGTTTTACTATAAAAAGAATGGGTGAGAAAGTAGCCCAAGATCTAGAAAAGTAACTAAGAGACATGGTGGAACTGCATGTCAGGCTGGGTCTGGCAGTTGAAGTGGACAAGTTTCAGAAGTAAAGCAGTTTTTAGTTCTCATTTGGCTTTGTACTTTAGAAAGATAAAACAAAAGATTTGTAGGCATTGTAGAAAAAACATTTCTATCAAAGCACCTGATGTTTAGCTCTAGGAAATCTGATGCTGCAGCTGTAGGAAATATCATGCATCAGCTGATGGCCATGACCTTAACCTTTCAGGTTCAATACTGAATTTAAATCTATCTTATCAGCTCAGAAATATCTTGTGAGATCCTGGATTTCCTTGACAACATAGATAAACTCTGTCATCTTACAGAGTCTGGGAAATTAAATTAGCAAGAGGATTTTGGCCTGTCATATTTCGTTTTAATTTTTCATGTGGAGGCAAATCCTGAAGGAACATGTCCCTTAGCAGGAGGGCACTTAACCTTTTTAGTGGAGCTGGACTTAGTGTGAAGTTGGGGAAGCCTCTCTGAGGAAGAAGGAGTAATCATATCAAGAAACCAAAGCAAACTGCCATGCTCTGACTTGCTCTTCAAACTAGTGAACAAGGCCAGCCTTTTACTGGACTGTAAGAATATTACACAAGACTTATCCTGCATTTCTACTACTAAGTACTTGAGTCACTGAAGGTATGTCTACTCAGGGTTTGGCAGCCAGATATGAACTCGCTCTGTCCACGCTCCAAACTGGCTGGGTGAAAGTTGGCTCTAAATACGAAGCTGTGTAGCCATGATTAGCATGTGGCTGAGCCTGAACTAACAAGTCCTGCTGGGAAGCAGAATATACTAGCTTGGGATCAGCATTACAGGGTTGCAATTACATGACTTTAGGATTAGAGTTAGCTTCTATCTGGGTATCTTGGAGCACTTACAGAGGGAACTGGCATCTGCTTGCAATCTCCCATGGAAGTGTACCCTGAATATGTTAGAAGAGTTAGCCAAACATGGTGACCTGGAAAAATAGTTCCCAAAACACTGCCCATTTTATTAAAAACAACAACAAACAACAACAAACACAAAAAACCTTCAGTAAAAATCTAGTGCCAAACTCCAGCTTTAACAAACTATCTTTTTTCAGATGCCTTCTGTTGGGTCTGAAGCTTGAAGTATGTTAATGTTAGAGGGAAAGACTTATAACTGTACTTGCTACTCAAACTGTATCTGAATGGAAACCCAGCTGGTCAGTGGGAAGGACTGTGCAACCATGACAAGTGAACACCTTGAAGTAATAGCTGCCTGAATGGTATGTCACTCCAGTACAGACCATCACACAAGCAACTTGCTTCCTTGCTTAGAATGAATAGAAAGTGCTAATGGATGGCAGCTTATTTAACTGGTGTCCTAGACTCTTGGGTCACTTAGGTACTTCTGCAAGATGTGTCTCTTTCAAATTACTTTCTGTATTTCATTTCCATGTCTGTTATTTTCAGAAAAAGAAACTTTGGCTATTTAAAAAGAACTATGGCTATTTAAACAATTATTTTGTCCTTAGCCCCAGGAGTCCATTAATTGACATGTTCTTGAACCAAATTAAAACAATGTATTCTGTGTGATATAAAACTATTCTTAACTAAGGCAATGGCTCACTATACAGTCATTAGATTAATACCAACTATTATCATCCAGGATGCTCATCTGGTTTTACTGAGTTTTGTTAACAAAATGGAAATGTATGATTAAAGTCATCCTGTCTGTCCCTCTAAAGTTGTGCCTGTGAATGAGTCACTGCTTTACAAATGGGTGTTGCCAGACGTTGATATTGAATGCGGCTCCAGCTCTCAGAGCTCTGGGTCCAAAACTGCATTCTTGGAGTCCATACTGGAACACAGAAGTTCCTATTGAAATCTGTGGGA